TTAATTTCTTCACCTATGGGAAAAAAACTGTTTCTGACATTTATCAGGATTATGGGAACAGCATGACACACTCTGAAAGCAGACTTCCTTGATGGAGTCCAAGCCCTGTCGCTAATGACTGCTAGCCTTGTGTGCTTACGCAAGTCACTCAATCTCTTCATTCTCTACTTTTTTTATTCTTGTTTGCTGTTGGCCTCTTGGGGCCACACCTGGCGATGCTTGTCAGCTACTCCTGACTCCATGGTCAGGGGTTACTCCTGGCACTCCTGGAGGATCAAACTGTGCCGGTGTCATGGTGTGTCTTGACCTCTCCAGCCTTTCCATTCTGTGCTGCAGTGCACACTCATATTCTTACTTACCTAAAGGCCATTGGAAGGATTAAATATAGTGTGCTGTATGTGAGGCATTTAGGGTGGCACTGCACAAGATAAGCACGTATCATTGTTGGTCAAGATCAGTTGCTCTCTGGCAGTGACAAAGGAATAAAATACATGAAGAATAGAAAGGCATCCGCTTAGAAGCAATGGCTGAAGGAAGTAAAAGGTATAGAGGTAAAAATTATACGAGTCAGATGTGCTTGGATTCATATCTGCATTCTGTTCCTTTTGTCCTGAAGCTCTCTGAAAGCTGTTTCTTCTAATTATGACCAGAATCGTACTCCCTGTCTTGTAAACGCCTTGTTAGTATTTAATGAGATAATGTATAAAATTCTTGGCCCAGACTGGGGTGGGGTGGGTTGGGGGAGACAGAAGAAAGAGAGAGAGAGAAGAAAGCATGATCTTTATTCCCACAGTCCCTTACCCTTTCCCTTCACTGTAGGTAGAGTAATAAGAGCGTCCTAGAGTTTAAGAAATGAAATAAAAATCTTTTTATGGTTTGTTTTGGGGTCACACCTGCAGTGCTCAGGGGTTACCTCTGGATCTGTACTCAGGAATTACTCTTTGCAGTGATCGGGACCATATGGGAGGACAGAGATTGAACCCGGGTATACCATGTGCAAGGCAAAAATGCCCTTCACATTATACTAATGTTCAGCCCCCTCCAGACTGTTTTGTTTTTTCTTTAGTAGGAGGATTGCTATTCAGCCATTGATTGAGCTGATTGAATTGGGCATCAAATCCACATCACTTTAAAAAAAATTTTTTAATTGAATATCCGTGAGATAGACCGTTACAAAATTCTTCATAATTGGGTTTCAGTCATACAATGATCCAGCACCCATCCTTCCACCAGTGGACATTTCCCACCACCAATATCCCCTGCTTTTCTACCACCATCCCCCAACATTCTGCTCCCCTCTACCCCCAGCCACCCTCTATGAGAAGCACTTTCCTTCTCGTGCGCTCTCTCTCTCTCTCTCTCTCTCTCTCTTTTTCCTTTTGTGCATTATGGTTTGCAATACTGGTGCTAAGAGGTGATGGTGTTTGTTCAGGGCATTCGGTATTTTTATCGGGGTGGCAAGGCTTTTCAATTGGGTGGAAGCTTTGGGGGTGTGGATGTGACTGCCGAGGCTTTCAGAAGTACAAGGAGGTGAGGGGAAGTAGCCCACCCCAACACCGAGAAAGCTTGGAGATTTCAGTTATAAAACCCGCATACCCAAATTTTCAGCAGTTTACATCTTGGTGAGCTCCATCCTGAGATGGTTGCAGTCAGGCTGGGGGTATTCGGCATTTTTTTTTCTTTTTTTCTTTTTTTTTTTTTATGTAGGAGTACTGCTATTTATTCAGCCACTGATTAGCTGATTGAATTGTGCATTTGGCAATTTTGGATTGTAGAAGCAAGCGACTGTCAGAGGCTCTACTTGGGAGAACCCTTGGCCAAACTCCCCCACCCCCAACCCCCTCTGATTTACCCCAGGTCCGTTGGGCCATTGCTGATCTGGGATTAGCTGTGGCTTTTGATCTCTTAGGAGATTTATTTATGAGTCTCTGAAATAAGACCAATAAGTGAGTTTGTATAGCTGAGCTGGAGGTGGTTTGTGGGTGTGACTCCCACATACCTAATTTCTGTCTGTTTAATTTCTTGGTGAACTTCTCCCCAAGTTGTTAGGTCTGGCCAAAGGCACAGCTGCGATTTGGAGGTATCAGGAAGCCCGAAGGCACCATCAGGCTGCTGATGCAATCACCCCGCAGGTACAGGTTGACCTGCTGGTGGCACCATTTTCCTCCCCACCTCCCGACTGTTTTTGTTTTTGAACCATACCTGGCTGTGCTCAGGGCTTACTCCTGGCTCTCAGGAATCACTCCTGACCATCTAGGGATTGAACCTGGTCAACTGTATGCAAGGCAAGTGCCTTACCCACTAGACCCTCTATTTGGGCCCTGCCAGAATAAATTTTTTTTCTGACTTTGGGTTACACCTGGTGATGTACAGGGGTTACTCCTGGCTCTGCACTCAGGACTTACCCCTGGTGGTGCTCAGGGGACCATATGGGATGCTGGGAATCGAACCCAGGTTGGCCGCATGCAAGGCAAACGCCCTACCCGCTGTGCTATTGCTCCAGCCCCCAGAATAAATTTTTTTGCTAAATAATGTGTGGGCTGTCTAATTATCCTCTTTCCTGAGTATCAGACCTTAAAACAAAGCAAAGTGATCTTAGAGCATTTTCTAACAGAAGCACATCTGTGTTGTGCCATTGTTACAGGTGTGGCATCTTTAGGTACCTCATTGTGGGAGAGGCTGGCTTTTGGGCTTGGGTCCTCACCAGCGGTGCTCAGAGGACCATATGTCGTGCCAGGGATCACGCCAGTATTGGCTATGTGCAAGGCGAGTGCCTTCCTATTGTTCTATCCCTCTTGAGTTACCTTCTGTTGGAGAAACAATAGTTTTGCTCCATCCTATGTTTGGTTTGTTTGGGGAGGCCACAACTGGTAGTGTTACTGATCCCTTGTAGTGGGTTCAGGGAACCATACAGGGTGCCAGGGATCAAACCTGGGTCGCTCTGATGCAGGCAAATGCCTGTCTCTCCGGCCCCAGGAGTAATAGTTTCGGGAATGTAATGCAGAGATTATAATGTAATGACCCCCCAAGCATGTGCTTCCGAGTCAGCTGGAATGTACTCTTAGATACTATGCTCTAGGGCTCACCCTGGACGTACTGAATCAGTTTCATCAGGACCTTGGCACATGTATTTTGTAAGAGTATCCCAAATGATTTTGCCCTATGTACAACTGATTAAAAATAAAAATAAAAATAGCCAGATACAAGGCTGGATAGTACAGTGAGCAGGATACTTGCCTTTCATTCTACTGCCTACCCAGCTTCAGTTTCTGACCCCCATGTTGTCTCCTGAGTCTACCCTGAGCACAGAGCCAGGAGAAGGAAGCCCTGACTGAGAAGTGCCAGGGATGGCCCAGAAACAAACCGAAGAGAAAAGGAAAAAGATACTGGCAAGAACATAGAAAACTGAGCCAACAGTACAGATCAGTGGTAGATTGTTTCACATGTACGGGCCCTGGGTTTGATCCCTGGCACCACAAACACAAAAACACACTGTCCATTCCTTTGTACCCGCTGTCCTGTAAGGGGCATCCCCACCCCAACTGAGTGAGAATAAGGCATCCCCACACACACATGGTTTGGGCGTAAATCTGTATAGCCTAGCCTATAGAATAGTTTGTAGAACCTGTCAGAACTTCAAATCATATATATTCCAGACACCCCCACCCCACCCCACCCCATAATCTGGGAGCTCCTCTGCCTTCCTTTGTTTGTCTCTCTCTTTCTCTCCCTTTCTTTCTCCCTTTCTTTCTCCCTTTTTTCCTTTTTTCCTTCCTTCCTTCCTTCCTTCCTTCCTTCCTTCCTTCCTTCCTTCCTTCCAAGTGTTCTCAAAAAAAGAAAAGAAAGGAGAAAAAAGGAAATACATATGTGCATGAAACAAAAGTACAATTTCAAGAAAGTGTCTTATAAAATTATTTATACTGTCAATAAGTTGGGAACATATAAATAGTTAGATCACGGTGGTTAAATACATTAGATACCAGTACAATGATAGATTCCATTATTTACTGTACAGCCATTAAAAGAATAAAGTATGAGTGAAAATTATCTTTGATTTAGGATGATACAAGAATCTGTTGTTAAGTTAAATAAGTTGTGGAATAAACCCTACTTAAAATTTTATTGTGGGATTATTTTTTTGGGTACCCCACCTGGAGATGCTCAATCATTAGTCCTGGCTCTGCACTCAGGAGTAGTCCTGACAGGACTTTGGGGGCCCTGGAGGATGACGGGATCAAACGCAGGTTGGCTGTGTGCATGACAAGCATTCCACCCTGCTGTATCATCTCTTTGGCCCCTTACTTTAAAATTTTTGTTGTAAGTAGAGAAAAAATTTGGGGGAAAAATGCTTACTGCAGTGTTTGTTGTGATAGTTTCTGATGGAGAATAATGAGATGATGAAGAGGAGCAGGAGTAGTGTCTTATCGCCACACCAAGCGGTGCTCAGGAGTTATTCCTGTTGAGGACTGTGTGTGGTGCTTGCTGAACCTTGAATCTGGCTTAGCTGCATGAAGGAAAACGCCTCACCTGCAGTGCTGACTCTCCAGTCCCGGGAATAGTCCTTTTTATTATTTGGTTAAAGTTGTTTTTCTCTTGGAATATGGAAAAACAACCACTGAACAAAACAGATTGTTGAAAGGGCACTCATATGCAACCTGATGGTTTGTGTCAGGACGCTGGTATTCTGCAAAGGCCAATTTTAACCTGAGACTTAGAATCTTCTGACTTGGGAAATAGAAAGGAATGTCAAAACTGTTTGACATGTTTGCAAGGAGGATAAAGTTTTGTTATCCAAGTTATTATTAAAGTAATGGCAAATTTCAAATAGGCATGTACAATTGAGAGTTTCTGCCATGTGGCAGAATTACATTGGCTTTACTGTAGACATACTCTGTGCATATCTGGATATGAAATGTGGATTCAGAATAATTGTTTCTAAATTGGTTAGCCTTTGAACCTCTGAGGATATTAATACCTTTTTCATCTCTTTCAAACTCTAGGCTCGATGAGAGAAAGGGAAAGTTAAGGATGCTGGAGCAGAACAATGGATTTCTCTTTCTCTTTCATGCAAGGGATCATGGGAAACACAATTCAGCAACCACCTCAACTCATTGACTCCGCCAACATCCGCCAGGAGGATGCCTTTGACAACAGCAGTGACATTGTCGAAGATGGTGGCCAGACGCCATACGAAGCTACCTTGCAGCAAGGCTTTCCGTACCCACCTACAACAGAAGACCTGCCTCCACTCACGAACGGCTATCCTCCATCCATCAGCGTGTACGAACCTCAAACCAAATACCAGTCATATAATCAGTATCCCAACGGGTCAGCCAATGGCTTTGGCGCGGTTAGAAACTTTAGCCCCGCTGACTATTACCACACAGATATTCCGAACACGAGACCACAGGAAGTTTCGGGAAGATCTCCTCCGCAGCCGCCCCCTCCTCCCTCGGCACCGCAGACTGTGATTCCAAAGAAAACGGGCTCCCCTGAAATCAAACTGAAAATAACCAAAACTATCCAGAATGGCAGGGAATTGTTTGAGTCTTCCCTCTGCGGAGACCTCTTGAATGAAGTTCAGGCGAGCGAGCACACGAAGTCCAAGCATGAGAGCAGGAAAGAGAAGAGGAAAAAGAGCACGCGGCACGACGCCTCCCGGTCCGAGGAGCGCCGGTCACACAAGGTCCCCAAGCCAGAGCCGGAGCAGCAGAGTGTGAGTTGGGACACCTTGGGGAGAAAAGTCTGCCATGTTTCACAGTCCCTGGAAAGTCGAGTTGCTTTTCAGATTTGTCTCTTCAATATAGCTATTGCTGATAAGTCCTAATCCTTAGCCACAAATGTGGGAAAGGAAAAATGCTTTGAGTGAGTATTTATTGAACGAATAAGTCGGTGTTCTGCAAGTGACGATAAGAATCCAGCTTTATGTATTTCTTTGAGCTAGGAGCTTCACTTATTTTCATTTGCTTCTAGTATCTCATTTCTAAAGACAAAAAGGAAGGTGAAGGAAGGTTCATACTGTTTTTCCCTTAGTCAGTTTTCCAGTGTTTGCTAATATGCTATAAAATAATCTGAATTGTGGGGCCGGAGAGATAGGACAGCGGGTAGGGTGCTTGCCGTGCACACGGCCAAGCCGAGTTTGATTCTGGCTCCCCATAATGTCCCCCAGGCCCCACCAGGAGCAGTTCCTAAATGCAGAGTCAGGCTTTGAGCACCACCTGTGCGGCCCCAAAACAAAACAAAATATCCCGAACAGAGGAATTCCTCTTATCAGAGTTAGTTACTCTTCTTTTGGGGTTGGAGGGGGACATACCCAGTGATGCTCAGGGCTTACTCCTGGCTCTACACTCCTGACAGGGGCCCGGGGGACCATATGGGATCGTCGATTGCCTCGAGCAGGCCCCAGTAACGTCTCTTTCATCCTAGCCCTGAGATTATATTCACGGCTCTTTAGGAGAATGAGACCCATCATTGTTACTGGTATTTGGCATATGGGATGCTGGGGATTAAACCCATTGGCCACATGCAAGGCCAGAGCCCTACATGCTGAACTGTCACTCCTGTCCAGTATTCACAGTTTGATTAAAGCCCTAGGTGTAGTTTTTAAAACTCATGCTTCATACTTCTATTAGAAGAAATGTTTCCGGGGCTGGAGCGACTGCACAGCGGGTAGGGCGTTTGCTTGCACACGGCTGACCCGGTTTCGATTCCCAGCATCCCACATGGTCTCCCGAGCACCGGCACCACCAGGAGTAATTCCTGAGTGCATGAGCCAGAAGTAATCCCTGTGCAACGCTGGGTATGACCCAAAAAGCAGAAAAAAAAAAAAGAAGAAATGTTTCCTTCTGACCAATTCACATTTTCCTTGGCAGTTGAGTTTTAGTACTTCATACATCTCATATGTGATCTTTGTCTGGAAAAAGGCCACACCCGTTCTAAATGCTCACAAATTGAGATGATATGTTACAGTATGTTTTCTCATTTTTCTGAAATTTTTCTATTTAATAAATACCATTTGAATACTGTATGCTAGACACCGACCTAATGATTAAAAGTAAAAGCAGTGATTGGAAGTATAAATATCTGAATTCAGGACTGGCATCTAGAGAGTACATTTACACACACACACACACACACACACACACACACACAGTTTGGAGAGAGCTGAGGCTATGAAGAAAATAAAAGTAGGCAATGAGTTAAAGAATAATTTGGGCCGCTTTCAGTTTTCCAGTGTGTAGCTTTATATTTGTGAAACGAAAGAATGAGGCCTTTGGAACAAAATGGTTTCTGAAGTGTCTTTTGTGTTTTGGTTTGTGGGCTGGTGCTGGGGGTGGGGAGGGCTCCTTCTGGCTCTGTGCTAGGGGCTTGCTCCCTTTGGTGCTGGGGAGGGGGTGGGTTTCGTGCCGCCTTTATCAAACCTGCTCTCTGAGGCAAAATGTGTTTTCAACCCATTGAGTCATTTCCCAAAGAGCAAGACAATGTCTTTGATTCATTTTTTTCTTAAATCTTTTTTTCCTCTAAACTTTGCTCACTAAGTAGCTCATACCAGCGGTGTTATCTTTTGTTTTTAAATTTGCTTGGGGGCCATGCGCTGTGGTGCTGAGGGATCGCTCCTGGCGATGCTCAGGGGACTTCACAGTGTCCCTGCTGGGCATTGAGCTCTGGCACCACATGCAAAGCTCGAGCTCCAACTCTTGGGGCTATCTCTGGGCCTAGAAGTTAGCTTTTTGGATTCCAGATGTGTTCCCTAGCATCTCTTGCCTGGACCTGCAGGGAAAAGATAGGTGACATCTCTAACCCTTGCGAATCACAAGAAGGCATAAAACCTGAATGCGGGTTCTGAGAACTGTCTTGCTGGTCTATCTTGCTTTTGCTCTAGAGAATCTAGCAGATAGTCAGCTATCCAATGATTTATTAGGATAGACTTTGCCCTTATTGATTGATATAGAAAAAAAACACCCTCAAAATAGAAATAATGCTGAAATCAGAGGCAAGAGGGCACAGTTTATTATCTTTTGTTTTTTCTTTATTGAAATCTAGAAAAATATTCAGTGAGGTTTCTAGTAGACACTTTGCAAATGAGGTTTTAAAGTCAGTTGCTGTCGTTGTGCGATATCTACTCTGCCTGGTCCTTTCTTGTCAGTGGTTTCCACTCCATGGCCTGCTGACTTTCCTCAGGTATAGAAGGATGAAAAGCACTGCTTCATATCACTGTTGAGATACAGAAGTCTTGTTTCTTTAGTAAACCAAGTGGAACCTAATTTCATATTTGATTATTTAGAAACGTACATATTTTAGGGTAAAGGAGTGTCATTTTGAAGTTCAAGAAATTGAATTAAACATCCTTTGGTTATACTGAATCTTACCTTGATCACTGCCTTAGTTGAGTAATGGGCACCTGCAGTGTGGTAAATACATTCTTTGCCTGCGGGGGGCCTTGGTTCACTCTCTGGCGTCTTTCCCCAGGGTGGCTCAGTGTGGGCCCTGAGCGCCACCAGAAAACTGTGGTTTCTGGGGGGAAATCCAACTTTCTTGTGTTACTCACCGTTTTCTCTTTCTTCCCTATCTTCCTTGCATGGATCTCTTTCCCTTCCCCATTCCCCCCCCCCCCCACACACACCCTTTCTCCTTTTTTCCCCAAATAGTAAAATAACTCAGGTGTGTGTGTGTGTGTGTGTGTGTGTGTGTGTGTGTGTGTGACATAGGTGTTGTTTGTTTTGAGGGCCACAGCCAGCAGTGCTCTGGGCTTCCCTGGCTTTCTGCTCATGGGGACTAGGTGTAGTGCTGGGCATTTGAACCAGGCTTGGCCACTTGCAGGGCCTTTCTCACTGTATTCTCTCTCTGATCTCTCTTTTTTTTTGTTTGTTTGTTTGTTTGTTTGGGGGGACACACCCAGTGATAATCAAGTTATCCTGGCTCTGCACTCAGAAATTACTCCTGGCGCTGCTCAGGGGACCATATGGGATGCTGGGACTTGAACCCTGGTCAGCCGCGTGCAAGACAAATGCCCTACCCGCTGTACTGTCTCTGTGGTCCTAACAAACAATTGAAAAATACCTTGGGGGCCGGAGTGATAGTACAGTGGGTAGGACATTGCCTTGCACACAGCAAACCAGGTTTGATCTTCAGCATCCCATATGGTCCCCCGACTGGGGTCGGAGTAATAGTACAGCGGGTAGGGTGTTTGCCTTACTCATGGCCTACCTGGGTTTGATCCCTGGCATACCATATGGTCCCCTGAGCACTGCCAGGAGTAATTCTTGAGTGCAGAGCCAGGAGTAGCCCCTGAGCATCACCGGGTGTGACCCAAAAAGCCAAAAAAAAAAAAGAAAAAAAACACCTTATGTAGCCCGGCAAGCTACCAAGAATATCTCGCTCGCACGGCAAAGCCTGGCAAGCTCCCCATGATGTATTCGATATGCCAAAAACAGTAACAACAAGTCTCTTAATTTGTTGTGAGACGTTTCTGGTGCCCGCTTGAGCAAATTGAAGAACAACAGGAGGACAGTGCTACAGTGCTATGTTCCCCCAGCACCACCAGGAGTAATTCCTGAGTGCTCCTGGGGCCCCGTGTTGCCAGGGTCTGGTCCCCACTCTTGAGCTATCTTCCCCCATCGTGTGTGTGCGTGCGTGCATGTGTGTGCATGTTTAATGTACCCTACGGGACAGTGTCTGTGAGAAACTTAAAATTTGTGATGCCCTTGCTCCTTTTTGTTGTCGTTGATGGTCCAAGTCCATGTTTGCTAGCACTATTTAGAGGACTTAGCAATCAAAGTGAAGCGGGGCCAGAGCCTCAGAACAGTGGGGAGGGTGCTTGCCTGGGTCGCAGCCTGCCCTGGATGGTCCCCTGAATCTACCAGGAATGATCCTGGAGCACAGGGTCAGGAGTAAGCCCTGAGCATAGCCAGGTGTGGTGCGCCCGTCCCCCTCCCCCCCTCAGACACACACACTCTCAGGAAAACAAAACAAAAAACCCAACTCCTTTTCAGGAGAGAGAGTATGATAGCTAAGGTGCTTGCCCTGCATGTGGATGACCCTGGTTTGGTCCCCAGCATTTCATATGGTCCCCTGAGCACCCGCAGGAGTGATTCCTGAGTACAGAGACATTATCAGGTGTGGCCCCCAAATTGATCCCCACCCACAAACGCACCCCCTCCCCCTTCAAGAAGCTACTTAAATGTTTGTTTACATCTATGGGCAGCTCTCCCCTAGATACCTTAGGGAATCCTTGAGGAATCTTCTGTGTCATGGTTAGGGAGAACTGTGATCTGGAACAGAGTTTTGAAATGAGCGTCTTAAATCTAGATTTGCTTTTACATACACAGACGTATTCTCTCTCTCTCTCTCACACACTCTGTCTCTGTCACACACACACACACACACACACACACACAGGGGCGCTTCTTGTTGTTGTTTTTTGTTCTTGTCCTTGTTGTTTATTTTTTGGGCCACTCCCAGCTGTGCTGATGGCTTCCTCCTGGTTCTGCACTCAGAGCTCACTCCTGGCAGGACTCGGGGGACCGTATACAGTGCCAGGGATGGAGCCTGTGTGGCTGCATACAAGGCAAGCGTCTTCCCCTGTAGTATCTCCAGCCCCGAGAGGTGCATTTTCTTTTAGCAGACAAATCCCATTTAAAATAAAGACTTTTAAGATTTCACTTGCTGCTCCTTATCTTCCCCGTTTCTTTTCCTTTCCGCCCTCTCCAAGTATTT